GTACAATTAAAAAAATATATATATATATGAAAAAAAAAAAAGAATGTGTCCTCCTCAAGGACTAGAAGGCTGGAGGGGACAAAAATCTGGTCATAGGGAACCCAAGTTTGAGAAGGGACAGTGTTGACATGTCATGGGGTTGTTAACCATTGTCATAAGGCAATATGTGTACTATTTAATGAGAAACTATTTGTTCTGTAAACTTTCATCTAAGGTACCAAAAAAACAGAATTATCTATGTGAGATCAAATTGACAACAGCAACTCAAAAGGTTTGATGGGAAGCGTAGGGTCAAGAGAGTTGAAGATAATGGTGATGGAATAATTTGGAAAAGGATAGTGAGAATAGCGGCACAACTGGAAGAGTGTAATCGATGTCACTGAATTGTACATGTAGAAACTTTTGAAATGGTGTAACTTTGGCTATGTGTATTTTCACCAAAAAAAAAAAAAATGTCCTCCAAGGTTGAGAAGGGAGAGTCTTGACATGTCGTGGGGTTGTTAACCAATGTCATAAAACAATATATGTACTGACTGTAAACCTTCACCTAAAGTACAATAAAAAAAATTAAAAAAAAAGAATGTGTCCTCCTTTTTTTTTTTAAACAATATGTTATTATGTTTTCAGTGAAGGTTTACACAGCAGTTTAGGTTTCCATTCAACAATTTCTACACAAATTGTTTGGTGACATGGGTTGCATTCTTCAGAATGCATGAACATTCTCAATATTTCCATTCTGGTTGTTCTGTTTCCATTAATTTAGTTTCCCTGCTCCCTTACATTCTCATCTTTGTTTGAAAGTAATTATTGACCATTTGGTCTCATACAGATGATTTTTTAAAAAGCACAGTAGTCATGAGTGATAGTCTTTATTCTGTGAACTAATCTGTTGTTTAGCTAACAGGTTACCTCAGGGGCTAGTTTTGGTTCAAGATTTAAAGAGTATCTCAGGGCAATAGCCTCAGGAGTCATCCAGACTCAACCAGTCAGGTATGTCTGTCTGGTTTTTTTTTAGGAATTTGAGGTACTGTTCCACATTTTTCTCCCATTCTATCTGAGACCACCTATTGTATCCCTGGTCAGAATGATTGGTAGTGGTAGCTGAGCACCATCTAGTTCTTCTGGTCTCAGCATAGATAAGGCTGTGGTTCATGTAGACTATTAGTCCTATAAACTAGTGTCTTCTTTGAGTCTTGGTTTCCTTCTTTCTCTTTTACTCTGGATGAGTTGTATCTTAGATGGCTATTCACAAGCTTTTAAGACCCCAGACACTACTCACCAAACTAGGATGTAGAACATGAACTTTATGAACTATTTATGCCAATTGACTGAGATGTCCCATGAGACTATGGTCCTAATCCTTCAAATCCAGGAAACCAATCCTGCAAGGTGTTTGGGTATGTCTAAGAAGTATCCATACCTGTGCCTCCTATATGCTTTATTATATTTATGAATATATGTGCATACAGTCACATATATACATATGCATACATCTATATATACACACGTATATACCCACATATATGTACTCCTTTTTAACTGGATATAATTGAAAGAATCAATTACGCAATCAAGACCTTGCCTGGAATGCCCTATTTGAGAATGATGCTCATTTAATCAGGTATGACAAGCCATTTTAAGGAGCAAAGGTTGGCCGTAGTTATGGAGCCAATGCCTACACAGTCCTCTCAGGGAAACTATCCTGGGGCCTGGCTTATAGCAACCAGCTTTATAGGTGGTCTAGCCTTACAGGAAGGCAAGTCAGTTCCAGGCAGGCCCTTGGGGGTATTTTTGAAACCTCAAGAATTTATAGGGATTACAAGTGAAATTTGGTGGACAGTTTCTTGGACTTGGTTTCCTAGTCTTAGGAGAGCAAACAATATACCCATTGATAATTCCAACTCATAGCGATCCTATAG